GCTACATGTATATGTCTGAGTAGCTGGATCTCTGGCATGGTGGGTGACGATACCAGTCCTCGCCCTTCACAGTTTGAACCGACGTCTTTGCAGCATCACATTCCTGCATCTACAGTAGGCAAAAATCTTTGATATATGTACCGACATCAAGATCAATAGTAAACAATTCCTTGCGCCAGTATCCTCAACTACCAACCAACACCTACTACCAACCCACGTCCTACGACAATCTCCAAACCAAAGAAGCGCGCCAAAAGCAAGGATCAACAAACCCCTTACATCCAAAAAGCCCGCTTAACCGCTCAAGCGACCCTATAACAAGCCTTTCTACCCCATATCCGTCCATGCATGCATACATGCATATAGACTGAACAAGTTAGCACGATTAAGAGATGATGTACAGCGCTTAGCTTCCAAAACTTGCAGCCAGTGCGGCAAACAACACACAAAAAAATCGATACATCAACTTGACCCAGCAGATCTGCCAACTAAGTATTAGTAGACCCCCACCCGTTCCCTCGGGATTCGTATACCTCACAAGATCAGCTGGCAATGCACAATGTACTTCTAATCATGCAGCCTATTCCAATAACAGTTCAAGTGTAATAGTAGACTCGCACTGTGATTCGCCCGTTTGTCTGCCGTCGAGATGAGATCAGATCACTCTTAACGGTGGGCTTATGCACGCCACCTCTCTCTCGCACTCTTGTTTCACCACTAATTCGTTTTCGATGTGGTAGTGATAGGCTGGGAGAACAGAGTGTATGCACTTCTCTCGATTGGGAGTGTCATCATGATAAAACATGTCATGTCATGTACAAATATCCATGTTGGTGTTGACGTAGGCAGTGTGAGATGCGAGGTATTATTGAGCTCATATGATAGATGTGGCCAGCGTCGCTTCTATGCATACTATATACAGATACACAATGCAAACATAACAAAGACCATGAAGGCAGACATATGAAATATGCTGATCTATAAAAGCCGCCAATAGAAATTTGACATATAAGATACAGACAGCACTGTCAATCCCCGTAACTTACACAGGTACATATACAGGTATATACACGCAACGTCCTAAAATTTCATTTCCTATCCTGGCTACCCCAGTATCCCTGTCTATCCCTACAGTAGGAGGGGTAGAGATTGACAGTCACCCCTTGCGTGGATTCCAGTTTCCAGATTGGCGGTATGATCGGGGCTTGGGTACGTGTACGTGGCTGGCATGGCGTTTCTTTGCTTTTCCCTCTCGCGTGTTCTGGTTCTGGGGAAAGGAGGCGTTGGAATGTTGTTTTTTATGATAGGTGGGCTTTGCTGGGTTTCTTGGCTTTTGGGTTTTTTGTTTTGTTTTCTTTTTGGTCCTTTTTTTCGCTGCTAATTTAGTTTAGCGTGTTATGGTTAGTTAGAGAAGGTTCGTTTTGATGATCCTCCGATCTGGATCTCGCGTTTAGGGCTTGTTTCGGGGTTGTTCTATGGGGAGTCGTCGGTTAGCTGAATTATATTGATGCTTTCTTCGACTAATAGGACACTGAATATCATGCATAGTATTGAGGCTTGTGGTTTACTTAATGAAATCAAATAAATATTTCCGTCAGAGAAGTTGAGTAGTATACAAGTATAAGCATGCCTATTGTACAGTTATATATAATGCGCCAATCGCTCCCGCTATGCCAGTATGTCATGAATGAATCAATCAAGGAATCAGTCCCAGCAAGTCAAGCTAAGGCGACGAGGCAAGCACATCAGCAACAGCAGAGTCTTCGCCATCCATTTCCTTGACAAAACCACGGTTCTTTCTCACATGCATCAGCAACCTCAGCGCACCAACAGGTGTAACGCCCTCAATGCGCTTCGCCATACCAACACTAACAGGACGCACGCGCTCAAGCACCTGTCGCTCCTCATTGCTAATGCCGGTAACCTGACTGTAATCCAGATCAGGGGCCAGAAGCAAGTTCTCATCCTTCTGGAAGCGCATGGCCATCTTCTCCTGGCGCTTCAGGTAAGGCGCATATCGGCCTTCGATGGCGACGCGGGTGCGAATCTCCGGTGCGAATGAGGCGGCAGTATATGCCGTTCCGGTAGCAGACTCCATGATTGGGATTAGAGAGTCGATGTCAGTGTTGTCGAGTACCAGGAGATCAAGTCCTGAGCGGATGGAGGTATCATCCCGGACCTTGAAACCCTTGCGAGACCACGCGGAAGATGAAAGCTTTGTATTAGCGAGGAGGGTTTGTAGTTCCTGGATCTGCGCTTCTGTGTCGGAGAAGTGGCTCCAGCGCTTGTCGGAGACGACACCTGCGTTGCGGGCCATGCGCGTCAGGCGCAGGTCTGCGTTGTCGGAGCGTGTTGAGATACGATATTCGCTTCTCGTTGTGAACATCCGGTATGGTTCGGACACGCCCTTTGTGATGAGATCGTCGATCATGATGCCGATGAAGCCGTCTGATCGGGTGAGGGTTAGGGGGTTTCGGCTTTGCGCTTCCAGGCCAGCGTTCATGCCAGCAATGATGCCTTGTCCAGCTGCTTCTTCGTAGCCGGTTGTGCCATTGATTTGTCCAGCCAAATAGAGACCGCTGATCAGTTTTGTCTCCAGGGTTGGGCGGAGGTTGCGTGGGTCGATGTAGTCGTATTCGACTCCGTAACCTGGCTGGAGCATGGTTACGTTCTCGAGACCGCGGACGGCGCGAAGCATTGCGTATTGTGCATCCGCGGGCACGGTCATTGAGATACCATTCGGGTAAATGACATCGTTGGGTGCGAATCCCTCAGGCTCAAGCCAAATCTGGTGTTGGGTTTTGTCCTTGAATCGAATGATCTTTGATTCCAACGAAGGGCAGTAGCGAGGTCCGCGAACTGTCTCCCTGATATGAATGGATTTGTCTAGGTTGGCGCGGATGATATCGTGAACGGCCTCGTTTGTATGTGTCATCCAGCAAGTAAGCTGGCCCTCGTCGCCCACATCGACAGTTTTGTTCAAATATGAGAATGGATGAGGTGGCGAGTCACCCTTTTGCACTTCGAGGCCGCGGTAATCAATTGTCTTACCATCCAGTCGAGGCGGCGTCCCGGTCTTCAAGCGACCCAGTTGGAAGCCAGCGTCACGGAGAGACTTGCTCAGGCCGTATGTGGGAGCTTCGCCCATGCGCCCAGAGGGGAACACATCCATTCCAATATGAATTTCACCACCCAAGAATGTGCCCGTTGTGATGACCACACGGCCAGTGGGAATGACCTCTCCAGACTCCAATCGCACACCAACAATCTTGCCCTGAGCACCGGGGGTATTCTCAATTCCTTCTGTTGAAACCACAATATCGGCCACCTTTCCCTCGACAATGTTCAGATTCTTTGTTCCAGCCAACTCCTCCGACATGTACCGCTTGTAGAGGTCACGGTCAATCTGCGCACGCGGGCCCCAAACAGCAGGACCCTTAGAGCGGTTCAAGACGCGAAACATGACACCAGCCTTATCGATAATGCGACCAGCGACACCGTCCATCGCATCCACCTCTCGAATCATCGTTCCTTTGCCAATTCCACCGAAACTGGGATTGCACGAGCAGACTCCAATGTTCGAGAGGGAGGGTGTGACCAACGCGGTGCGCGCACCAGACCGAGCAGCAGCAGCGCATGCCTCAGAACCGGCATGGCCACCTCCAATAACAACGACATCGTACGGTCTGTAAGAAGCTAGTCAGAATCAAGCCCCAATGCAATAACCAGGAAAAGACACGTACTGCGTATTATCTGTGATAGTGGCCAGACCGCGATTCCGACCCACGAACGAGTGGAGGGGGCCCCGACGCATCAGCGCCGCTGAGCGAGCTCGAAATGCCATAGCCATGGCGAATTGAGATGAAGAGCAAACGGTCAACAAAGACAAACTTTGAGATGATCGATAAGGAAAATTATGGCCAGTCACGTGCCCAGACTTATGGCCGTTAAGCCCGAAGGCGGTGACAGGGATGACATAATCGCTTGCGCCATCGGCCAATTGCGGGGCTGATGATGTTCAGGCTCATGAGTTTCTGATTTCTTGTTCCTCGTCTGTACACTTGCAAGTCGACCTCAATCGCAAGACGGCATCATGAAGGCATACTGGTATGACAATGTCCCGGTACGTACGCGCCATCTCAACACTTTGACTTCTCAATCATCCCCACCTGCAGCCCACCCCATCTACCCAAACCAGAGGCTAACCAAACGACCAACAGGGCGACCAGCGCGAGCCCCATGACTCCGGCCGCGCCGTCTCAGAAGAAAAGCTCGCCTCACTAGGCGTGCTATACAAGCACTGCCCGACGATCGCAGACGTGGACACGATCGCGCAGGAGCGCGGCTACCGCAACCGCGACCAGGTCTGCGTCTCACCCGAGGCCATGGGTGACGTCTACGAGGACAAAGTGAAGATGTTCTTTGCAGAGCATTTGCACGAGGATGAGGAGATCCGGTACATTACTGATGGAGAGGGATACTTTGATGTGCGCGGACAAGATGATGAGTGGATTCGTATCTGTCTCGTCAAGGATGATATGATTATTCTTCCTGCTGGAATTTACCATCGCTTCACAACAAATGAGCAGAATGTAAGTTTGCCGGATCTTGCATTAAGTATAAGGAGTGGAGGGATATATCTGTATCCCGGGACTGACTCTATATCTAGTATGTCAGGGCTATGCGTCTCTTCCAGGATGAGCCCAAGTGGACGCCGCTCAATCGTGGTGCTGAGGTTGATGGGAACCCTCACCGCAAGACGTATTTGGACACTATTATCACCCCTGCTACGGCTGTAAACTAGATGAAATACTGAGATTGAGATGCATTATGATTGAGTTGGCACTACATACGGAGGCCATTGGTGACTAGTCCAGTTTTAGATGAACTTTTGCCGATGTCGAACACTAGAATCGGAATCGAACTTGATATTGTCTTAATATCACTATTTTAGATTGCGCAGTACAATCTGACACCCGTTGACACTATGAGCCAACACTCTAGAGTTTGGCTGGCTTGTTCCCACCATGGACCACATCAGCATGTGAAGCGTTGCCTTCAAAGGTCGGTACAGCATTCATGATCCCCGACCACTTATCCGGAGAAAGTATTGGAGCGGTGCAGTATGGATCAATATCCAAGTCGCTCAGACGCTCGTCAAGTCGGGGCAAGGCTGCATTGAGTGTCTCGCATTCCACTCCATATAGGGCCTCCCGGCTCAGTCCCAGATTTTGAACATGCCCGCTGGAGTCTGACTTCGCAGCTCCAACCTCATACAGAGCCGACAAAGTAGGATCAACTTTCGCGGCCATAGTAGTCTTATAGGCCATACACTGGCTGATAGTCAGGACCAAAGATCAACAGTGGAGTAAAGTATAGTCGTCGTAGCCTTTGCTCCAATGACTGTTCAATGTTCTCTAGACTTTCTACAGCTCTATCAAAAGCCATGTTTCGTGCTGCGCCAACAAGCACTTGGGCTTTGTGACCCCTGGAAGCGTGTATCTCCCAATGAGCGGTTCTGTGGCAAGATCTATTGCAGATCAGCCAACCCGCCGAATTGCAGAAAGCCTGATAGATACATGCGAATTAAAAGGACTAAGACTTCCAATTCCGCGATTCCTGTGCCACCAATCATGGACTAGACTAGTTGATTACCGTTTCACATATCATGGGCCTACATTCCTCGAATGTGACCATTTGATTATGTGGATATGCCCCTTGTGCGCCACTTCTTCCAATCAAATTGGCCAAGCTTCCTTGACCAGCGTAAAGGAAGACAACCTTGAGAACGTCTCCTAATCCATGTTGGCGCCAGGATGAAGCGATGCGTTATAGCGAAAGTGCTCCACAATCTAATCCACGAAGGGCGGGACATGGTTGAACAGAGAGGGTTTCTCCGCATATAATGGCTGACCTGGATATGAAAATGTTTGCACTAAAAACTAAAGAAGAATTACCTGGGCTCTTTATACCAACCACAGTCTTGAGATTCGTGAAACCCACATGAAGTGTTTGCTGTCGGCATGCTAGAGCCCAGCTGTCGTCCTAAGACACCCAGATATTCCGGTTTCTCTTTATCTAGATACACAGAGCGACTACGATAATGCAGAAAGAACTCACCTAGGAAAAGATAGCCTTTCATGCGGTCGTCTATTTTCCTTCATACGCTGACTTGCAAGTAGACAGAGATTTGCATGACATGGCATGACACCAGCCAAGGTAAGATTGTCTCTCGTGTAGCCATCTCTTTCATCCATGTGCATTCCCTTACATGAAGAAATGTAAGGTTCAAGGGGAAATGATTCCAAATACGGGGATTTATGCAGTAGTCCATCGGCTACGTTAAGACCACTGTTTGTGTAACCACGGTTTCCGCACTCAAAATTTCAAATATAACACCACCCTCAGGCTTTCAACGGCCATAGCACGTAAGTGGAGGTAAACTAGCTGTGTGTAACTCAATTTATCTGAGCGCTTTAACTCCATTCTCATTCCCCACTACCCAAACTAGTAGTGTGGCGTTATTATGTACTAGCAGCTAACAACGAAGTGATTGCGGCTAGGCTATGACTCAGGCCTACTATAGAGGATTTTAAACGTACACAACAGATGAAACAGGCATACGAGACAACTTATCTATCAGGCGACGCGTGACAGCCGCTACAAAGGTTGCACACGCTGCATGCTCCTGCACATATATATATTACGACACTACCTTAGATTGCAATGCCAAATAAAAGCTGTCGAATTCCACTGAACTTGATGTTATCCTTTTAACACTATGCGATTATGAAATTACAGTACGTATGTTAAACTGTTTGGTCCGGCCAAAGCCTCAAGTTTAGTGACTGTATTCCTATTGGCTCCTAAACCCGGGGAATTGCTCTGATGTGCATAGTATCTCACTCTCTTGGAAATTTCCACATAGCAGGGAACTGACGAGCAAAAACTCATTTTTAAAAAAGGAAAGAAGAAGAAAATAAGAAAAAACAAAAGAAAAAAAAACATACAACAGTAAGGATTCGCTAGTGGTCACCCACCTAACTACTAACTTACCGGCGTGTGGCTTAAGTACGGCTGAGCGGACGGGAAGCCCTGTTCTCCACACCCTATGGTTGTATGTACTAGGCTTAGTATTGAAGGGGTTTTCATACGACCCAGTTCTACATCTAGGTCATTATTTATTGATTATAATTCGCTACAGGACATCATTACAACATACCGTGGATGATGTATACGCGGCTAGTAGTGGGTTCGGTGCCACTCTGTGAGTTTGGGACAAGAGCCGCCTGAGCGTCTTGAGGCTCATAGATGGATCAAAGCTAAGTCTATTTATTAATGAATATGTGAAGGTGTTTCAAAATGTAAGGTTATTATTGAAGCTTTCTAAAAAAAATACCTAAGTAAATGCCAAACGAGTGGACGATTGTTGTTAAACAAATCAACAAATCAAGAAAAGAATTACAAAGAGCAAACACATAATCCAACAGATAATCCAACAGGTAATCGGAAGCTTTGCCATGTGACTAGACACATCAGGAAGAAATCCCTCTGCCTTGTCTACAGTCAGTCTCCCACAAAGTGGGGGAATATGATTCAAAAAAGCTGGCAGCCGAACTTGACAGACGGCCAAGGGCAAGGAAAAGCGAATAATTCCTTCCTTTGCTGGGATTGAAGGCCATGAAGATGTTCCCCTAGGTCTTCCTCCCAAGCATACGGCGTGATCCCCAACTTAATGGCCAAGAGGGTGGCACTAGAATTTTGGTGGTTAGACACGCGATTTTGATAAATGTTGAAACAAAGTGACTTACGTCGTCGCCAGTGCAGCAAGCAAGAGTGTGGTTGCAGTCAATGTTTCCGGTGTTATCATCGACAGTACCTTTTTACAGACGTTAGAAGTCATCAATGAAATCAGGAGACGTTACTCACCAAGAAGAGCGACGTTGACGGGTCCGATCAATGTAACGGGGGAGCATGAGGCATCGGCTCCCAGAAGGTTGAAATGAGTGAGAAGGCTAATGAGTCCCTTCTCCGAATTGTCCTCCTGGGGGGAACAACAATAAACCTTTCCTTCCTGGCACTGGTCCCCAGCCTTGGCGATCGACATGGGACCAGTCTTCTTGAAAGCCACCTCTGCTGGCGGCAAGGCCGCCACAGCAACAGCAAGGGAAATGATCGAGATGATGGAGGCCTTCATTTTGAAAGATTTGATGGATTGTACTGATGGAAAAATGAAACGTTTCTTGTGATTGCTTGAGAGGGAATGAAGCTGTGTGTGATGATTGAGTGAGAGATGGGATTGCCCACCTTTTTATAACTTTTTTGCACAGGCTCTGCTGTTGTTCCAAGGCATAGTCCCATTCATAGTCTCATTCCAAAGGATCAAATTCATCAAGCTTCAACCCTTCAGTTGTCCTAAGGGGTCGTATCAAACGTCCTCCGGCATTTCACATTAGTGAATGTACTAAATGTCTTTCTGAGCGCAGGATGTCTTCATTCCTACATTCTACCGTAGGCCCCACCAAGCTATCATCTAATTGAATTAAGTCATACTGTTGGTTGGTAAATTCTCGATGTGACCAAATGCTAACGGCAAACCCCCAACTAAGGTCAAGGAGATCATCACAAGAGCTGGGGTTAATAGCAAGGTACCCGCCGAGGATTAGTACTCTTTCTGCCTTTCTAGAGCAAGGAACATTGTTTCAGTGCCATTGAAATGTCCACATCTCTATTGAGTCCGGAACTTCTACGCAAGAATAGCTGTGGTAGAACGAACTCCGTGAAAGGATGAGGTGGGAATGGGACTACAGATCACATTTATGTAGATCTAAGAATTGCTGAGGTGGCCCTGTGTTGATTCCCACATATGCTGGCATTTCATTATAAGCTCCGATATGATTTTGACCTCCGCACCCGAGCACCAAGCATTCCAGTTCCGACGATTTCCATGCTGTCAAAACGTTGATTTATGTTAATTTTCTCAGCTAACTGGATTCAGGAAAGGGATCTGGCCGGGATATATTTCGAGAGATTCTTTGCGGTCGTAAGAGCTAACTATGTTGCTGATAAAGCAGGTATAGCTCCAAGTAGAATGGCTCTGCTTTCCCCTGTCTTCCCTTAAGGACGGCCATAAATTGCTGATCTTCATTTTATCATGTCTCGCAGTCCCCTGCTACATAGCTAATTAAGTTACCTATATAGCATGATGTAACGGTGCCTTTGCTGATCTCACCGGGCAACATGACCTACGGGGCTGTTCACTATGTTAATGGCACAGCCAAGGCACAAAATTAAAATAATTACAATTTCAGCGCAGATTCCTCAATACCAACTTCTGGCTGGTATCTGAGCACATTCGTAGTTTCAATGCCGTAAGGATGCTTGAGACCCTTGTTGTACTAGGCAAGCATGGAGACATACAGTTAAAATGATATGTCAGATCAGACTCGGCTAGGGGGCCAGTTATGTGACACCTGACAGCTATAGGCCGCCGTAATTTGGCCCGTGCTTTCTTTCGCAACAAGGACACATTCGGACCTTGAACCTTTTGCCCCAAAGGGACTTGTGGATGGATGCATTGCACTAATAGCTTTTTTTTTGTCAATATAGACTTCCTACCACCCCTTTCCTCCACAAAAGTCGACTGAGACATAAGAGTATTCTAGCTTATAATAACCGGTATGTTCCGTTTTGATTAAAAGCATTGCCATAGACCACACGGAGCTTCTGTTGCATGGAGGAGAGGACGAAAACATCTGTTCGATGGGGAGTTATGGATATCTTTTTCACACCCGCAAATCATCGGATGCGGCTTTTGTTACCATTTTAATAAAAAATGGGGGGGCCTTGTGGGGCGCAGGTGTGAAGCTGTAAGAATTAAGCTTGGCAAGCGCCACGAGGTTTTCAGATTGGCCGGAACCAAGTCCAATCAATCACGCAACGAAGGGATGATTTTTCCACCCCCTTTTATCGTCGCATTGAACCTGAGTCATGTCACTAGAGTTTCCACGACTCGCCTTATGAGATACTGCGTATGTTGCTCTCGATAAGGAAAGGATCAGCGCGAGCACTGTGCGAATTGGTCATTCACTGTCAGAATTGCCAAAGTCCGCTAGGCGCTTTTCTGACTCCAAGCTAGATTTCTTCTCAGGCACTATCGTGTCTTGAGCTATCCACGGTGATTGTTTATACCCCATGCTCATCTTCTTGCCAACGGCACAATTGGCGCGAGCTTATATAGTCAATTATGGATTACTCTCATCAATCTGTCTTTGTAACTTTTGGTGGCGTGTCGCCCACGACTAGTCATTCTACCGGTCTTAAGTAATATTCAATGTGGCAATTGACTCAAACTAGTTGAAATGAATAATTATTTAAATAGACAGATGTATGCATGTGTATTGATCGAGCACCACAATCCTCGCTCATCGAAACCCCCATTATATATATTCAAGTCGGTATTAGGTGAAGACACCAAATCTGCACAATGCAGTTCACTATTGCTGCTATTTGTTTCGCCGCGCAATAGGACAACAAGACATGACTATTGAGCCATGTAATGTTCAATGGAGCATTGAAACTAACACAGCACCAATAGTGTACCGGATTATGCAGATTTGAGTGTCTCCTTAAGAATACCTAGGAAAAGACAAATTGTATATTTTTCCAAGAACTGAGCGGGATATATCATGCTATATATACTGGTGCACACAGACGCGCAAATTTGATGAACTATGTTACCAATTTATGCCATAGCATTGTTATGGCTTGGCCATTTGACACCATAAAAGCAAATTTCCTCTGTATCGTAACTGGTGGACGCAAGACAAGGGGATACTACTCTGGCCCAGCTTTTGGTGCTTAGGTCCATTTGGACTTACAAAATATCATGGAGTCTACGCATAATCATTGTCTATATGTGAAATGAGAAGGGAATATATATTCATGTTCTCTATGAGTTTTAGCGAGGCCTGAATCTCAGTGCAACAGCTTGAAGAAAGATGGACCTCTCTAGAAAAAGCATTTCGTGAGAGCCCATATAGACAGAGCGCTATTCTTACGGTCAGTTGAAAACGACGGAACCGTTTGGATACCTATTTAGGTAAAAAATAGATAGATTTGGCTGAGACTCTCGAGTTGAGTAGGAGAAACCGAAGACATGTAAGGGGCATATCACATTTCCTATGTAAGAGGAAACCAGAAGGGAGGTAGGATCACCTCAAAGAGCCTTGATCCAAGTGTTTTGATTCAAGTTGAGAACTGTCTTACAAGCTTGGAAGCTCTCTACTAGTGGCCATTAAGTTACGTATGATTGTATGGAAGGCCGTTGCGTTCCGCAGTAATTAAATAATCTATGTTGATTTGTTGTGCCCTCGTACCGATTTCGTGGTCATTTGAGCATACTTAAGTGGTTCCTATCTCAAGTTCGTCACTTGTTTACTCGGACCTTGGAATTTGTACGTCCACTCATACTCGTTAACTTGACTGCTTCAAATTTGTGGGCGACAACAAGATTGGCGCGTGGCCCTTCATTGTGAAAGGCTTACATTAACAACCATGGGACTTGAAGCACCAATTTCGAGAGCTTTTGAAAATGTAGCATTCATCGTACTTCTGGAATTCTAGTTTGCCGATCCTTGAAGGCGAAGCAGAGGCTATGGAAATTCCACCATGCACAGAGACCTATCTGCTAGACCTCTAGGAAACTAAGTTATAAATCGATCCTAGTATGTCTGAGCTGCTGTTGTCCCAGTAATGCTTCATTTTGAGCGCACATACGAGAAACCAGCCTGATGAGTCGTCCATTATCGTCCCGTTTGGCCATAGCCGCGAAAAAAATCCTTCGCCGGCGACTACGGAGAAGTTCCCTCATTCGTTTCAAAGTGCGTCACAAACCAGAAGTGCTTGGCGTAACTGACGGCTTACTGACGATTTTCGTTTTAGCAGTCCCGAGTTCGAGAAAGTTGGGTCTTCTATCGGCAGAGAGCATCCTCGTCGATTTCCATCGACACTTTCAGTTTGGACACTACAGACCTCGAAGCCTATGCCAGCCAGGGGCAAACAATGCTAAATCCTGCGGCAAGCCATTCATTCCAGCGAAACAGCGATTGGTCTACAACGTCAAGTTCGGAAGCACATGTGAGCGTCTCGTCGGTGTCTTCGTCTTCCAGCCCGATGTCCTCCCACTCCAACATTCAATTGCCAAGTCCAACTCTTGAAGCGTTGCCACAAGTTCTCAATGGCCCGATTGATCTCGATGACCTGGATAGGATTGAGCGGCGTAGTCCACAACCAGAGCCCAAACGTTTGTCTCAATGGTTCAAAAGGATGCGTCGTTCTGTCCTCTTTCCATGAGGATTTGGTCGAGTTGGATAGTATACACATTATTGGCGTTATGGAAATGGTCGTACAGATAATTGAGCGTCGATTACAGTTGATATCATGGCCTACGCTTCGGGTCCATCGTCTCCGCTACTTAGAAACGGATAAATAGAATTGACAATTAATTTTGCTTGACCATTTGCTGTATCACCGTTTTCACAAAAATGTATAATTTATTATAATTTATTATTAAACCCTATCGGGGTTCAATGCCCGATCTGGACATAGAAGCCTGCTGGGCTAGCTCATATGATACGCCCTTGATAAGAGTTTGCCCCTTACCGAAAGCTAGGGAGTGTCAGATTTCTCTTCCGCATAATTTTAACCGGAGTTCAGCCTCGTATTGAGCCATTCCCCGATCTCTAATCCGATTCGTCGGGCCAGGGGCCGCCCACCAGGACACCCACGTGGCTGCCGCCAGTGTCTTGAAAAGCGGAATGTTGGGGTATCCGAGTGCCTCAGCCCTGGGTTGATGTCAGATTCCATTCAACCTGTCGAATCCTAAATTAGCTTCTGTCACAACGTTGGCATTCAAGTTTGCCCTGAAAAGTTATAGCGACATGTTGGCCAAGACCATCGCACTATTGGACATGTCAAACACGTTCATGTGAAAAGATTGAGACTTGGATAAATACTCAAATTACGGCTAGCGGGGAAAGTAGATATACACTGAGGGGAGCACAATAACGGAAGTTGGCTGTGAGATAATAATCATATATAAACTGAGCATTGCCCTGCATAAAAGCTGATATATCGTGATTAGTCGCTTGTTTCTGTACCGAATCTCACATACTCGGCACTAGATGTATATCTCCAATGAATCAGCGCATACGCACAGGATTCGGAAATTGTTGAGTATTGTTGATACTACCATTCCAAACAAAGCTATCATCTAAGCATAGGATATGCTGCTTGAAGCTCACTGGCATTCTCAAACTGTAAACAATCAAGTCCCCCTGATGTAACATGAAAAAGAAATGTCACAAATATATCTTCCAGAAACAGGTTTCTATGTACAGAGACACTCCGTTTGTTTCCATTGTTGTTGTTGTGTTTGTTTTTGTTTCCCTTTTCCTATTTTCCTTACTTTTCCTTTTTAATTGCGGGGCAGGGGTATTTGTTCCGAGTAAATCATTTGTGATCTATTCCCTAAGCCTGCAGCTTTCAATCATTTATTGCAGCCCACCACCAATATGGTTTGGAATGATACTTTGCACAGCATACAACCAGAGTCAGCTTCATCTACAATCCTCAACAATGGCGTTTACCAGCCTTCCACCAAAACCGTACTCCCGGAGGACGGTGTTTACCAGCCTTCCACAAGAACTGCACTCCCGGATGACGGCCTCTATCATCCAATGAGATATGCCGGTGGACAGAATCAACCTATTGTGCCGAACACCGTTGCTCTTCAATTGGACACACAAACGAAGGCAGCTACAAAATCACCTTCAACTTTGAATGGTCTTCCCGAAGTTCCATTGCCACTAGCGACTGCCCAGTCTGTCATCATCGCTCTGCCTTCCATCCAGCAGAATACACTCAACAGAGCAAGTCAGCCCACTTTTGCTCCAACCGCAAGTGAAGATGCAAAGATTCCAGAAAGAACAGCGACTCTTCTACCGATTCCAGTCAAGGCAGAAATATTGGACAAACCAGACAAATCAGACAAATCACACGTCTATGCTATACTCAGCGTGCTGGCAGTTACCTTTCTCATCGCAGTTTGTGTTCTCGCCTGGCTGCGCAAGCAGAAAAAGAAGAGGGAAGCAATTCTTCTAAGGTTTCACAATCAAGACAAACCGTCATTGGATACTTCCAGTGTACATAGCGGGCAACTCAAAACATTACTGTCAAGGATGAAGAGCAGAGGTGCTGCATCCGTCGAGACAGTCATCAGATCAGCGCGAAAAGAACACAGCGGCGATGTTGGAACATGGCCTATGAATTGGTGGACGGAAGAATCCAAGGAAACCCCGAAATCTCGCAATGCGCATCCACATACGAGCTACAGAGGCTTCGATCGCCGGCTCCTGAAAGACTTGATTTTGCAAGCCAAAAGGACCAGTGTGGCCATGTTTTACGCCCTTTCCGGCATACTCAGGCAGCGAGAACCCCCAAAGGCTAATCCGCGACCCCGTCAATCACGGACAAGTGATGTTTGGTCAGCGACTATCAACAGCAGTGCTGAAACGATTTTCTCCGGCCTCCTCCACAGCCCCATCCTCGTGACGGACGTCTCTCACTCCGTTTGCAAATGCATCCAAGAACCTGCACCGGCAGTGCTTCCAATGCAACAATGCTTAGAACCTCTCTGTCTGAGCGAAGTCCTCTCCACGACCGATGAAAAGGTGGATCAGTTGAGTGACTGCAATGAAAGTTCTTGCACTGTTAGCAGGGTGTCTACTACATCAACAAGATCGGGGCCTAAGCAGCCGACAAACAACGTGTATCAGGATCTCAGACCCAAGTTGTCCAGCGTCAGCCTGTTCCGGAAGGATGTATATCAAGTTCAAATGAACTATGAAGCCCGAAACGAGAGCCAATTGAGCCTTTGTGAGGGCCAAAATGTTCTCATCACTCAAATCCTTGATGATGGTTGGGTAAGTCGCCTCCCGTGCAATTATGGACTAAATGATGAGCCTGGACACTAATCCCTGAACAGGCATACTGTCAGATAATCGGAAGCAAGAAAGAGGGACTTGCCCCCCGTGCGTGCATCTCTGCTTGGCCGGTAAAACGCGTGATTACCCCGCCGGGCCAAGCAGCAAAGCCTAGCTATTCACCACCGAGGACACCTGTATCGCCAGTCTCGTGGGGTCAACCACGCTTTTACGCCTACTGCTAATGTGTATTCAGCGTTTGAAATTCTTGTATTTAGCTTTCGCCTCTAGGATGAAATGATCTATCCATGGCGCAGATATTATGTGTTGTAATAAAGCCCAGCATCGAGCGCCAGATCTGGGGCTCTACCTTTTTCTTTCACCCATGTGGGTCTCTCCTTTCTGTTCGAACGGCAGCTTAGCCGAACTCAGGACCCAGACTAGTTGAAATAAATTTGCCTAGTAAGCCGCCTTGTGTAGATTAAAGCACAACCAGGCACTCCATCAGCGCTCGAAATAATACAAAAGTAGTAGGAAATTTCATCATAAGTGAGGGGAAGCCCGCGCAGTGACCGTTCCTCCTTCGTATTAGGGTTGCGCTATGTGCTTATGTCTCGCTACGCGTCTTGAGTGGTCGGGACTTTCGGCCAAGCTCTGAATTCAGGGGTGCCTCTCTGTGGCAAATACTTGGTGAGGAGAAAATGGGCGATTCCAGCTTGCAGTGAACGAGATATGATAGTCAAATGATAACCTCACAGGTTATCATATTATCTCCCAAATGTACAAGGCTCAAATATGATAAAACCCTCCACCGAAGTCTTACAATGCATGTGGGGGACCCAGGGAACTGGGTGATCTGCATTCCCAGTCTTCCGAAGTTTGAAAACGTTCGGAAGACGCTAAGCGCTGCCTTGCTTCCAGCCCACGACATATCGTTTTGAGAAACAGGTGCATATTACCACCCGATTGAGCAGGAGTCTATTTAACACGTATGAGGCTCGCACGAGATTTCTACCATTGGTACATTCTATCGCTTCAAGCCAAGCCAAAAGTCCGAAAATCAAGGCATGTGCCAAGGTAATGGTTCGGCGCATGAACCTCTCAACATGGGTATGTGAGGAGCAATTCTGACAGACGCATACCTCAGGATTGGGGCGCCCAGTGACTGAAGTTAGGGTGCCAGTTATAAGTGCCGCTATGCCCTAGACTTCGGCTTTCTTGACTAACTTTGTTCCATGACACCTGGATCTGCAGCGGCAGGGATGCAGGGATCGACTCTATAAATACCTTGTATCTGCTTTTCCCACCAAAACCCCCGGCCATTACGGGTCTTCCTCACTTAATCAACCGTCCGAATGTCGCTGGTTACTAATTCTTCAGATGTGGCAATCGTTGATTGTAAGCCTCCCTCATTTTCCGCTGATTTCGACGGCTAGTGAGCCCTCTCCGTCCAGAGTATTCGTCCAAAAGGCTAGGGCGGCGATTCATGAGGGGCTGAATAGTACTATTCGTTTCTTTCACAGGCCACTGTTCCTCAAGAAACCCAGCTAATATAGCGCGTTCGATAGCATCCCTGTCAATGCACGACCGAGATGAGAGGGGCTTTTCACATTTTGCAGTCATTTTTATTGACCAAGCAGGCAATCTGCGCCATGAAGCCTCCCCTTCCATCTCCGACAGTCGCGAGCGCATCCTGTCCCCAAGAGTCACAAATGAGTTTCTGCAAGCGGTCGCGAGATCCGAAGACAATCGCGCCAAGATCCAAGGTTGGTGCCACCTTTTCGTGCGATCCCATCCGCTGGTCTAACCCGAAGGTGACATAGGCGCACAAGCAACGCCGCCTCATGGGCTGCCAAGTACCCAACCCTCTTCCCGACCCAGTCAAACCTATACCACCCAATGCACGGGTCTTTCACCGACCCAGGCTCACGTCGACGGACGCATAGCACCAACACCTCATGTACTACCAGTCATGTGGCCAGGAGAGCTAGTCCACCGGTCAGTCAGGGAAAGTGAGCTTTTGCAGCACAAAGCTACATCACAGAATGAAGAGGTCCTGTTAAGTTCCAAGAATATCATGGTATCGCTTGGCAACGCAAGCCTGCTTCGTCGGTACTACGAAAAGGTTTTCGATAATTTACAGCAGACCAATTGCAGAATCCTTGCAAAGGTGTATGTCAGACTTGTCGAACCGCGCAAACAAGTCAAATATCCTTACAATGGACGAAAGACTGTGTCGGGAATAACAAAGCAGTGGAGTCCCGATGAGACCAAGCCGCCATGGTGGCCGTCAGATGTGAGGCATCGAGAACCAGATCATCTCCATAAAGTTGGTAAGTACTCTAGCCTCTCTCCATGCTGCGACACGTCTAAACTATTTCATCAGAGCGAATCGAACTTCTCGTCCATATCCTTTGCGAACTACGCGCCAGCCACGGAGTCACAGCGCGGAGACTGAGAGCGGCAGATGAGACCATCCGGCGGCAGATCTCTCCAACCGATCGGGTAAATCTACTGGATGAACTATACTACGTCAGAGAGAAGGAAGAAAAATTACTAGATGGTCTTCTGGGTATGTATGCGCAATCACATGTGGAGCCGAGCCTGATGATTTGCAGACATGAATACAAGGGTTTCGATCTCGCGCGACAATCTGCCCGACGACTTGGAAGTTGCAATTATTCAAAGCCAGATATGCATAAGGGGCTCTCCAGCTAGCCAAGAGCCTAGGACGCAGCCACCATCTCAGGACTCTCCTCTACTTAGTGGTCCAACCCAAGGAGTTGCACATTTTGTGTCTCCAGATCCTGGTGCAACAGATAACAACACAGCGCATTATACTCACCAGTGTCCCTTCACTGGCCCTCAATCTGCTGCCCTTTCAACGTCTATATTCCCTCCAGGTCTGGATCAAAGCAATCCATATGCTCAGACGACCTCTCTTTCCACCCCAAACTCTGTGCCCATGCAGCATTACTTTCCCAGGCACACCGGCTATCAATCCCTTCTGCCAAACCCTTCCCAGGGATTATCAGCTCACCGACTAGAGGATTTTCAAAGCACAAGCCGGCCTAGGGTAGAAACATTTGGAGAAAGCATGAATGTCCATGGGTCCCCTCAAGTGCCGGAAGGTTGCGGCTGGTATTGATGTGGAAGAGCCCTTTTGTCCAGTATCAATACTCAAGCACTGTCTAAGCAACAGAATAGACAGGGCATGAATCTTTGTCACAGGCGTCCCAGAGAAGTTCATTTTTAAAGTCATAGCTTCACCACCCCCTGTCAGACTTTCGCAGCTGGTGTCTACATAAATGGCTTTCGTTCATGTAAAACCAGCTATGAAAGTTTGTGCGGTCAGTGCAGTATATTTTCCCTATGAATGCTGAAAGTAACATGGTGAACTGGATTGGAGACCCATGGGTGAGAACGTTAATTTACCCCACTGCTTCCATTGAAATTGAATCGCCAGCCCATATTTCAAGGACATAGAAAACATATTTCTAGTATATTTGGTTCGTCTCATTTGCTTTATACAGATTTCGCCAACAGAGCATCATTAGAGAAAATCCTGTCTAAGCCCACCAATGTCCCCACCGGCAAAACATTTCTTTGATAGAACGTATGCTACCAGCCGATCTCCAGAAATAAGTTCGGAGAAGTATCTAGTTCATTTGCCAGACTTATTTTCCTCTGTTATCGCCATAAAGCCGACCGTGAACCCAAATTTGTATGTATTGAGGACGCGCAACCTGGGCTTTCATGATAGTTCCGAGCTTAATTTCGGTATATGCCTGATGATTAGATTTGCCCTCTGCAGACCTTTTTGCACCAAAAGATGGACCGACTTTTTATCCCCGCTTCTCTGATCTGGTGATGTCAGGGGTTCGACGCGCACTTTGAGCTGGTTACGAATAGCTTTCCCCTAAGCTTGGAATGCAACGGCTCGCTAAAATTACAATAGATCGAGGAGAATCCGCAAGTACCATTGATCGGTTTAGACCGGACGCGGCGTTCATCATAGTTGGCACTAGCCTTTCCACGGGTGTTAGCCGAGCCCCTGGAGACTTGAAGGTCTCATAGAAGTGGAGAATCGAGATCTTTAATGCAGTCTTCGCAGGACCTAGCAGACCAACGAGAGTATAAGAAAGTTCTAGCTATAGTGTTAAGAACTATTCAGAGAACCCGTATTTGTTTCAGAAGTACAAGAAGCAATCAGCAAATCAAAAGGTCGCTCTCGCATTTGCGTTGAGGGTGTGGGAAACCCGGGGGGAGAAAACCGCACCCGAAGCGACCGAAGCTTGACTAAATATAAAGATTCCGTAGGCTTTGTTCCAGCGCTCTTTGCAACTTTAATGCCTCTAGCCGGTTAGTTGCATAGACGCCTCGATCCTTTCATGATCTCCTCTCTTCGGTGACGAGCTAGGCATATCACCCTTCCCCATACATCCAGCCAGACCCTCCCTTCTCTTACTACAGTTCATACCGATCATCGTCGTCGGGGCACTCTACCTCATTGAACTTAACGGAGATAGTCTGCTGCCCGTTCAGACTCAAATAGGGGTACTGGAGGCTATTGATCTCCAGTCCGTTATAATTATTCTTTTCGTCAACAAGATGCAGTCGGACGTAACAATCGCCACCAGGAGCGAAGGGGACATCACAGTCCCTAAACGCCTGGAAGCGCAGATAATTTGTGTACCCGCCGAAACTGGGGTACATATAGCCGTATTCATTACCTGCGACCGTATTCTTGCCCTTGGCCCAGGATGAGCCCTGGAAGTCCTGCAGATAGAACTTTCCGCGGTGCTTTATCTGGCCTCCGCCGGAACAATGATCTCGTTCTTGACAGAGACGGAACGGCCGCCGGTAGTTTTTAGACCCGAACTTCAGGTAGCTGTACACGCCACCATCGGAACCCAGGTGCTCGTCCTTCGGGTCGGTGAAATAGTAGCACTGGCCATAGCGGATGTCGGAAGTTGGATGCGGTCCGTCCTTTGCGAGCTGATTGGCTGCTGCGTGGGCTTGGAGGGAGTTAGGTTCTGGGGCAGGGATAGGAGGTGGATGATTTCCATCGTTAATCATGTTGAATTGAGGCGGCAGCATAGGGTTGGCGGCAGCGTAGAGGTTTATAGTGACTGCCGGGAGGGCCAGCCAAGCCTTCAGGATGGAGGTCGAGGAGGGAAGATACATTTTGATTTATTAGAAGAGGCAGTAGTTGTCAGTTGCACGGGTTTGTATGGCAGTGCAACAAGGGAATAGATCTGTTATATGGTAGGGTAAGAAAGATTCTGCCGTGTTACAGTGACTTGAAACGATTTTATAGCAAGTATATAGTATAAGGTTTAATTTGAGTAACTTCTATCAGTTTCATTAATGACATCAGGGGGGTTTGCAAACGTATAGACTAGAGACCGTGTCTAGATCAGAGACTGTGTCATGGTTACGCAAAAATAATTGTCGAATATCAGCAGTGGAATCTTACCGCTATGGTAGAATGGTTCAGCGAATAGCATACCCACCATATGTTTTTATATGGAAACGCTTCTTCGGAGCACAGGGATTATCATGTGACAATACTGATGTGGTAGGATAAAACACCACCAGGAATAGCCTCCTGGAATAGCCAACCAACCGTAGCGTGCTTCCAGGTGCTTGTTCCCTTGATACTCGCCGATACGCATCGCCATCAGGCCGACAGTAATCCTTCTATGAAGAATTCGTGTACCAAAATTCTATCTGATGAAGAATCTCTCAGCGAAGCCTATTCAACTATATGTGTGACTAATTCATCTAAAATTGAGATTGAAGCTTTGAGCTACCTAGAAATGGGCATCGGTAAACCAGGGTTCGGGCCTTACCGCAGTGGGCCTGCCGCAGTTCCGGCGAAACTTTTACAAATTACTGTTTGCGGCGGAGGGAGAACAATGGTTCAAAATTTTATCGAACTTACTTCTGTCGTATTTGTCTCTCTGATGACGCTGAGAGATAAGCTAGGCTCGATCTCGATGGGTCTATATAGATATAGTTTCGGGAAAGCCGGTGCTTTTTGTTACGTCGGTATTACATATTGTTAAGTCAACTATTATGTGGGGTTAGTCAATGGGAAGTTATTTTAAGCACAATATAATCGAGATGATTAATCAATGAGAGGTCTTTAGTACCATACATGAGACATTTGATGGTGACGTAGGCCGTTCCTTTCGCAATAATCACATACAACGACCCGTTTATTGACCAGATGTAGTTGACGGAAGCGATAATCAAATACGATGTGAATTTAGGGGTTCATAATTCCGTCCAATCACAACCAGATTGAGAATTATGTCTGCACCTTCCTAATTTTAGTACCTATATAGCCAGCTATGACGGAAGTGCAGGGAAAATCTAGAATCTACCGCTACCGAAGCCATTGTGCATAACGCCCTAGTACCACACTGTCAATTAACACTCTGTGGTGCCAGCCACACCTGGGGATACAGATAGGAAAACATGACTGTCAAGTATGTTCGGCACTGCCAAGGAATTCAACAGTATTCTCAAATGGCATGTTTAACTTCATCCCAGCAGCCCATTCATTGATAGCGCGTAAGAAGCGACGAGCTGTTCCCAATTTGACACCGTGCTAAACGAAGAAGCCAGAGACTGGGTCCTCGAGTATCAGTTTAAGGTCTAGGTGATTCTCCAAGGGATATTCTCGGAAAATCAGCTTTATACGCCTCGTCGGTAGCGCATGATTTCAGCCATATGCAGCATTCCCTCACAGCTGCTTCATCGGGTCCAGGAATTACAAGACGCTCGTCGGATGAAGGTCTGGGCAGGGACGAAAGTTCCGTGGAAGCACGCGCCATCTGTGATGGCAGAACATTGATACTGATTGAGGGTATGTTAATCCAGATGTTGAAGTATAGCCTTTTTGGATCTTCTTCCCGTCCCGCTTTCCAGAACCAGGTCTCGACGGATATCACTAGGGACGTCACCATGACCATCTAGGCTACCATCATCGACATAGTCAATGAGTCGTTCTGAATGACCGTTCCAGATATGGAGCGCTAAGTTTGTAACATTTATTGTCCTTCCGGTCCTCCCACCACCAATTAGACCTTAGCGGACATGAGTGGATTTCACATCGCATACGATCATAAACGAGACTCTAAGTTGAAGGTCGTCCTGTAGTCGTTTCCTCCGCATTAATATATGCCTCGTCCTTAGCCGATAATCTGCTAGTTGCAGACACGCGGCCCTTCTTTCGACCCTTCCTAGTGCAGGCATTGGCTGATCATCATTATCATACCCATAATTGAAGGCAATAACAATCCTAAGTTTTTTGCCCGTACGAAGCAAATTGCTCTATTTACGTAGCTTCTCCACAGGCTTCTAGTTGATGTCCTTAGAACTACAAAATTTCTCAAGATCAATCAAAACAGTGATCGCAGGCGCAAATCTTATAGCGTCCGGGTCATCTAAATTGCGTTAAGCACTGCTCTAGGCCGTTAAGCTTCGCTCTGGAAACCCGGATAATGTGGAATCATTCATTCTAAAAATCCGGAGCTCGCAAACCGACCGAGATAGAGTAATCTTTCTCCTTTAGGAGACCACGTTCTCTAATATCGGGTGATAGCTGGACGCAGATGAAAGGATGGCGGAGGGCTTGGCATGGTGCATAGATACTCTACGGGGTGGGGTGTCAATCATTTGAAGATCCTGGAATAGTAATCAACAATCTTCTGTACTAT